TGTGTAAACATCTATGCTATCGGTTTGTAGTACGACCTTCTTGGGGAATCGAGCGTCAGGCGTAAGTCATGTAGATGTGTGTGTGTGTGTGTGTGTGTGTGTGTGTGTCGTCGCCATAGCGCTAAAATCACAGAACCAATAAACCAGGCGAGTTGCTTATCCATTATTTTCTTTGTTATTTTCACGAGTCTGGTAGGTGCGAACGCGCTCTGGTACAGTCGTCGGCCGATTCATTATTATTATTAATATTATTTATTATTCTCGTTTACGTATACTCGCGAAACCGTGTTTGTATCGTATAATATGTACCTATTATACAAATTCCCACTCAAACCATGACATTATATTCCCCAATCAAAGTCGTACTACAGCTAAGACGTTTACACAATATCATTCGTGAGTACAAAGGCACTCACATTTTGTATAAAATGATATGATATCATTGAATTCAAATTTAAAACAACCCATTATACAGTTACCAACTTGTAACCTACTGTGCAGCAGAGCGACATCCACTTAATCGCTTTTTTTTTTTTGGTTAACCTCAAACGTGTTATACATTTGAAACATCAAGATATTATCGTTTACTCAGATCGGTTGGAGATATTATTTTTATTTTATTCTAGGTAGTACCTGTTTTATAGGAATTTCTTTGATGAATTAGTTAACATTTTAGCTGGTTAAAATAATTTATTTAGGTATATTGTATTTGTGTATAAATCCATAAATGTATAATATTATACCTATGATCAATTTAATTTAAAAACCAAATGAAAGTTTTTAAAACATAAAAATAAGCACAACGATTCATGTGTTAATAGTTTATTACGTCTTTTTAACGTGGCGTTAAATCCTCTTTTTATATTAAGCACTATTATTGTGAAGACCAAAAGTAATCATTATAATAATTGTTACATTATATGCTTTTCTTACGTTCCAAATTCCAGGTTAAGGTCTGATTGTACTATCGATTTTAATTGTCATATTATTATTTGTTGCTAAGACGATTATTGATCATGGTCTATAACAAGAACGCATCTCCGTGATTTCCTCTTTTTATAAACGATTGTAAAACGAGACCTTATAAATAATAATATAAAATAATTTCCCCTCATGCTTGTTAGAAGATTTCCGTCATCCTTACCAATGTTTCGTCCGACACTCGTAAGTCGTAGTAGTGGCGGCGGCGGTCAGCGTTGTGTGCGTGCTTGTGTGTGTGTGTGTGTGTTTGGCCGCTCGGGCGCGCGCGCGAGTGTGTGTGTGTGTGTGCCGCTCGCTTGTACTGTGTTTTACATACACGAAACATCGATACATTCAGGAACGTGAAAAGTGGTACAGTTGAAACTATACTCCGGCCCACGAGAGAGTATTACCGTCGCCCGACGAAAACTCGTCCGATTCCGCGCATTCCCCACTACTCGGCATGTGCCGACAACTGTTCGGTACCGGTCGGCAGCGCTCAACGCTATACGGTGTATAGCGGTCGCGGAAATAGTGAGGGAAATGGGGCCTCGGAACGGTCTCCGCCTTCAGTCTGCATGCGCAAAACGGTAGGTAATACTCTCTCGTGGGCCGGAGTATAGTCGAGAAGATTCCCAAGAGCTTGTTTCCACGCAAACAAATATTGTTCTTAATTCATCAACTAATATTTTTTAATTGAAACAATTTCATAAATCAGTACTTTATCTTTATTCCAATAAAAACATTCAAATGTCATATTGGGTAAAATTACACGGCATTGTTCTGATGGACGTGGCTCATTTTTTTGTATGGAACTATGGCACATTGTATTTATTTCGTGTATTTCAATAATATTATCGTTATTTGTGCGTTTTTAAGAGTTTAATGGTACCCTTTTCACAATTTATTTTTGCCTTGTATATACCTAATAAAAATATATAAAGAATATAATAAATATTTTGTCACGAGGTCAATATAGAACAATTATTGTATTGTCCGGTGTATCCAATTCTTATCAAAATGGATTCCATTTCTCTAAAACGTTTGGTTTTAACCGTTCCACAAAAAAAAAAGTTTGAATAGGTACGTTGCACCCCTTTCCCACAACGCATCTCACGAGTGACCACCATGAACTTGGATAAAATCAAGTAACACGTTTTAAGAAACTGCAATAAAGTCGTGATTGTTGTTGATTTGGTCAGATCGTTTTCGTGACAATTTATTATTAGTAAGCCCTCAGGCCCTCAATTCTCAAATAGTCAAGGGGTTATAAAAATTCCAAAAATAACGTAGCTGACAAATATTTAGACCCAATAATATTAACGTCACTCAAAATAATATTCATAATATATTTTAATGTTAATGGATTATTATGGATGTTATTAACTTATTAAATTTGTTTATTGAACTATTCATATCATATATGATTGTAATTAATTCTAGAGTCAATCTTGACTTATCGTAGAAGTAAAACAATGGAAAGAGACCCATCACATAAATAGACAATAACTTATTTCAATCTAAATATTTTGAAAATATCCTCACTATTATTATATGGGTATATAAATATAATTTAATATTATCTGGAGTTTATAATACCTAGTCATTCTAGTAATATTGTGCCGTGAATATTGTGATGTTTTAAGTTATCTTACTAATAAATCAGTACTTTAAATTTAATACCAGTAATTATTTACTGCAACATCGAGCATTTTGGCAACTGTCTCAGTCGTTTGCTATTTTATCGAATTTCTTTCAAATTAAAATAATATAGATGTTAGATTCATACCTAATTTTATTTGTTCATTCAAATTTTCATTGTAAACAACATCCGAAACGTTCAATTGAAATTTCAATCTCTTTTGTTGGATAAATGTTAGCATAGATAAATCTTTTATGATAATATATAAAAAATAAATGAAATGTCACTAAGTAGATTGGAGAGTCTAAATTTATTGAAAATTTACCATTGCAGGTACTTATAGTAAATACCTAACTAGGAAATACTACTATAATAATTATTGTAATTTGGTGAATATTATCGGTTTTGAATTGTGTAACTATGTAACAAAATCAATCTGGTTGAAAACTGGTGGATTTGCCTAAATAATTCTCGTTTTCCCTCTATTATATAATTTTTTTTCCGATAGTTGAAAGTTAGGAATATTCTTTACTTTTGACCCAACTATTTTTAGTAAAAAAAACATTATTGTAAAAAATTGTATGCATTGCTCCGCCAAGAATCTGAAACTATGGTTGTGAAGACTTAGACGTTTTACTAGATTTTGATATTATGTTCGTCCGAATATTATGCACTCCAAATAAACTGTAATAGTGGTTTTCTACATTTAAATTTGTTTTTGTTTGTTACATCATTGTATCAATTAAAGGGATAAATCCATATTGTGTTATGTAT